AGAGAGCATGAGAGGGAGGAGGGTCAGAGGGAGAAGCAGACTCCCCGCTGAGCAGGGAGCCCGATGCAGGACTCGATCCCGGGACTCCAGGATCATGACCTGAGCCGAAGGCAGTCGCTTAACCGACTGAGCCACCCAGGCGCCCTGTTTCCTCACTAACTTGATCAGTGACTTGATTGTTGTTTTCTTCTGGAAGAAAGGAATAGGGAGAGAATGATTGATCATCCTTATAAAGCAACAAATCTAGAAAGGCAGGCTCTACGCTTGCCAGTATACAGAGTTAAAATAACTTCTTGGTGTTTTTAAAAATTGTGGTAAAATACACATAACATAAAACTTACCATGTTAACTATTTCTTAAAAAGATTTTATTTATTTATTTGAGAGAGAGAGAGTGGAGGGGGGGAAGGGGGCAAGAAAATCTCAAGCAGACTCCCTGCTGAGTGCAGAGCCCGACGCCGGGCTTGATCTCAAGACCCTGAGATCAGGACCTGAGCCCAAATCGAGAGTCGGATGCTCAACTGACTGAGCCACCCAGGCGCCCTGCCAAGTCAACTAATTTTAAGTGCACAGTATAGTATAGTAGTGTTAAGTACATTCACATTGTTCTGTAGCTGATCTCCAGAACATTTCTTATCTTGCAAAGCTGAAACTCTTCGGCCTTTTAACAGTGACTCCCCATTTTCTCCTCTCTCCCCCCAGCTCCAGGCACCCATCCTTCTACTTTCTATCTCCATGAATTTGATGCTTGGGTACATCATGTAAATGGGTTTTTGTCTTTCTCTGAATGGCTTATTTCGCTCAGCATGACGTCTTCAAGTTTGCTGTAGCGTGTGTTAGAAGTTCCATCCTAAAATAAGGCTGAATCATAATCCTTTGTATGTATGGACCTCATGTTGTTTATCACTCATCCACTGATGGACCCTTGGGTTGCTTCCCCTCATTGGCTAATGTGAATAATGCTGCTGTGAACATGTGTGTACAAATATGTCTTCAAGACCTCGCTTTTAGAGCCAAGAGGTCCATCGACAGATGAATGGATAAAGAAGAGGTGGTTCATATATACAATGGAATATTACTCAGCCATCAGAAAGGATGAATACCTATCATTTACATCAACATGGATGGAACTGGAGGGTATTATGCTCAGTGAAATAAGTCAATCAGAGAAAGACAATTATCATATGGTTTCACTCATATGTGGAATATAAGAAACAGCACAGAAGACTGTAGGGGAAGGGAAGGAAAACAGAATGGGAAGTCATCAGAGAGACAAAGCATAAGAGACAACTCTTAACTATGGGAAACAAACTGAGGGTTGATGGAGGGGAGGTGGGTGGAGGTGATGGGGTAATCGGGTGATAGGCATTAAGGAGGGCACGTGATGTGATGAGCACCGGGTGTTATACGCAACTGATAAATTACTGAGCTCTACATCTGGAACTGATTATGTCTATAAGTTGGCTAATTGAATTTGAATTTAAAAAAATGAAAAATAAAGATCTTGGTTTCAATCCTTTGGGGTGTATACACAGAAATGAAATTGCTGGATCACAATGGTAATTTTATTTTTAATTTTATGAGGAGCCACCCTACTGCTTTTGACAGTGGCTGCACCAGTGTGCATTCCCACCAACAGTGCACGAGGCATCTAATTTCTGCACATTTTCACCAACTCTTGTTATTTTCTGTGTTTTTATTTGTTTGTTTGTTTGTTTTGTTGTTATTATACAGTAGTCGTCCTAATGGGGATGAAGTGTATCTCATTGTTGATTTGCACTTATCTAATGATTAGAGATGTTAAACATCTTTTCATGTGCTCATTGGCCATTTGTATGTCTTCTTTAGAGAAATATCTATTCAGGTCCTATACCCATTCTTAAATGGTTTGTTGTTGTTGTTGAGATGTAGGAGTTCTTTATATATTCTAGATATTAATCTCTTAGTAGAAACATGCTTTGCAAATATTTTCTCCCATTCCATGCATGATTTGCCTTTTCACTGTATTGATTTTGGTTTTTGATGCACAGAAGTTTTAAATTTTGAGGTAGTCCAATTTATCTTTGTTTTTGTTTGGTTGCCTGTGCTTTTCAGGTCCACATCCAAGAAATCATTGCCAAATCCAATGTCATGAAGCTTCTCCACAATGCTTTCTTCTAGTAGTTTTATAGTTTAGCTCTTATGTTTAGGTCTTTGATCCTTAAGTTAATTTTTATATATAATGTAAGATAAGAGTATCCAGTTTTCCCAACAACATTTATTAAAAAGGCTGTCCTTTTTTGGACTTGGAACCCTTGTTGAAAATCATTTGACTACATACACAAGGGTTTACTTCTGAACTCTATACCATTCCATTGGTCTATATGTCTGTCTTTATGCCAGCACCATACTGTTTGGTTATGATAGCTTTGTAGGAAGCTTTGAAATCAGAAAGTGTGAGGCCTCCAACTTTGTTCTTTTTCAAGCTTGTTTTGGCTATTTGGGGTCCCTTGAGATTCCATCTGAATTTTAGGATAGATTTTTTTCTATTTCCGCAAAAAGTGCCTGAGATTTTAATAGGGATTGAATTAAATCTGTAGACTGCTTTCGGTACTATTGACATCGTAACTATGTTAAGTCTTCCAGTTTATGAGTATGACATGTCTTTCCAATTATTTGTATTTTCTTTAATTTCTTTTAGCAACATTTATAGTTTTCAGTGTATGAGTCACTTGCCTCCTTGGTTAAGTTTATTCCTAAGTATTTTATTCTTTCCAATTCTATCATAAATGGAATTGTTTTCTTAATTTTCTGACCCACCTCCTCCACCATGCTCCAAGTAGCCTTGAATGAACACAATGAATTGTGTGCACTTTTGTAATAAAGTGAAGTATACTAAAATCATAAAATGGAAAAAAAATATGTCTTATTTGTTTTATGTTTTGGTTGATAATGCAGCCAAATAAAATGAGAGGAAAAGAGAAAATTTATGTTTATGTATGTGTGTCTAATATACTGTTGTTCATATTGGCCCATTATCTCCTACTTTGAGGAAAAGCTGATTCTCATTGATGTAACTTGCTTTGGCAAGTGGTGGTTTGATGAGTGCCTGGGTATTGGGCTTGTTCTTTTCCAACCCACCTTCCATGCTATAAGGCTATCCTCTTGGAGAGGAAGACTACGTAAAGAGGCCCCAGAGGATGAGGCATCATGAAGAGAAAGAATTTGTGGAGAACCGAGATTCCCCAGTTGAGCTCCCAACTGAAAGCAGCCATGGGAGTGAGCAGAAAAACCAACTTGCAAGGCTAATTTAGCTATTGCTGCTGCAAATTGTTAAAACTTCCAGCAATGGAGACCAATGCAGATTTGTTGATATGGCATCATTGTTTGAGAAGACCAGTTGTTGACTTGGTAGAAAGTTGACTACATTGGCTTCCGTTGTGAAAGGACAGAGGTTTGTTCTAACAAGAATAGACACATTTTCCAGGTATGAGATCAGCTGCAGAAGTGGGGTTGTAGTTCATGCTTCTAAACCTTCTTTTAAGTCTCCCCCCGGAAGAGAAGCTCATCAGAATACTGAAAGAGCTGCTCCCCAAATGTAAATGAAGACGTGGATTTGAGCAGCATGGTGGTGAACCAAGAGGAGGTGGTTGAGGACCAAATAGACATGGACATGAAGATTCCAATTCAGGGAAAGACTTGTTCCAGCTTTGGGGAATGCTGTGAGCACACAGCCTACAACCACTGGATCCTACAAGGTTTGCCTGCAGAGAGCTGCCTTGACAAAGGTCATGTCCTTCCTGGGGCAGCTCACTTCCAATGACTGATCACTATATGGTTGTAAAAGCCCACCCGCTTTGGCCCAGTGCCAGATTTCCCCATGGGATTGACCAATGCTTTTTCAGACCTGCAATGCAATTTGACTTCCTCTTGCAATCCTCTTTTCTCCCTATTTTTTCTAGAGGTATTAAATAAATATGCTAATAAATATCCTATTGGTCAGACTCAGTGTCCACTTCCAGAGACATAACTGCAGCCCTGTCTTTGTAACTGGTAATGAGACTGTAATTGATAGTTTTACTTTGCTTTTTCCATTGGGATTCAATGTCTCCTTTGATTTCAGCCAGCACCTCAACTGATTGAGGTTATTTACCTAGTGGGGTGGCCCAAACATTTATTTCTCCACCCTGGGAGCTAAGACCTCCATACCAGCAGAGCCTAAAGTTGTGAGAATGAGAAGCAAAAATTCTGTGAGTGGATTATTAGGCATTGCAGAGAAAGTCTCTTGTCCACCTCTTGGTTATTGAACTTATGTCTTGACTATTGAAAAAATAGTACCATAAATTGGCTATTAATTAATTAATTAATTTAAAAGACCTGTTTTTCAAAATGATACCTGGAGTTTACTCTGAGATACCTGTTTTCAGAAAGCCACACTTTCAAATATTTATATCTATTAGGTGATCTTTCATCTAACTTGCAACAAGCATCTGTGCCTTTTTTGTTACTAGGATTTGTTGTCATTTTCCCTAAAGCACAGAAATTTTACTGGGTGGAAAATGGTAACCTGATCAATTAGGCTGTCAACTAGTTTTTAATAAATCAAATCTGAAGTGTGTAAAATGGCACCAAAGGTAGACATAAAGGATCTCTGTCCCCATAGAATTTGCAAACAAATAAAGAAGACAGACAAATTAGCCAAATCCTTCTCAAGTGCATGAGGCAAGAGAAAAGCCAGGTGTTGATGTAACAAGTGGAATAAAGCTAACTGGGGGAAAATTTTGGAAACACTGGGCCTTACCCTTTGCTTCCATGATGGATTAGAACAACTTGAGTTTGAGGAGTTAATGAAAGAATGACAGAACCAGCACAAACAAATGTGAATGGAAAAAATTAACAGATTGCCCAACCCACACAGGGATATATTAGAACATATTTTCTGCCTTTTCTTAATGTCGACCATAAAAGTGAGGATTAGCACTTAGTTCTCTGGGATTCTAACTGATCTGAAACATCCATTCAATTATGAGTAACGTATGATGCAAGTTAAATTATTCTAGGGTCTATAAGTGCCATTTACTGACCTTGAATAAGTACTTTGCCCAGTGGCTCTCAAGAGTGACTCATTCAGCTTGAATAGGTGAAGAGGAAACGCCCACACATCAGTTTACAACATCTTCAGGATTTTTTTCTCTTCACATATATAAAGTAACTAAAAATTTCATTCATAAGTAACAGGTTATAAAAGTTCCTTATGAGGGGCGCCTGGGTGGCTCAGTCGTTAAGCGTCTGCCTTCGGCGCAGGTCATGGTCCCAGGGTCCTGGGATCGAGTCCCACATCGGGCTCCCTGCTCCGCGGGAAGCCTGCTTCTCCCTCTCCCACTCCCCCTGCTTGTGTTCCCTCTCTCGCTGTGTCTCTCTCTGTCAAATAAATAAATAAAATCTTTGAAAAAAAAAAAGTTCCTTATGAAACATATTGAGTGTGGGATTCTTTTAAAATAAAAGAAGTGTGTAAATTTAGGAAGAAAAACAAAAATGACTGACAGCACAGTAGTAGAAATATAGCTTATGTGACATTGTTTATAAAATTATAAATTTTTTGATCTGGTAGGTGAAAATAATGTGCAATGAGAATTTATGTTTATATAATTATTTTATGAAGTTTCAAAAAGATTTTCAACTACAAATATTGTAAAACTATCTAATGGTCCAGAAGGAAAAGAGAAAACAGTGTTATTAAGAGAAAAAGAAAATCTGAGGTCCTATAGAATACATCCCCAAACGCCAGCCTCTTTACTACTAAACTAGATTCTTTAGATTCGTTACCCTTTTCCTATTCTTAATAGACAATACCATGTCCTGCTCTTTTTCTTAAGCAGTTATTGCAGAGTCCTCTGTGAATAGTTTAATTCTTCATTATCCTCCCTTTTGAATGACTTGGGAAGTGATCTTCCTTGCTTGATAACCTGACAGATTGTTTTTTGTCTCAGTTTCTAAGGCAAAGCACTAGGGTGTGCTAATTGCTGAGTCCTTTGTGCACTTTAACTTTCACCTGCCCTGAAAACCTGAATGGCGGCTTAGTTTTTGTCTCTAAGTGCCTCCTTCTCCTAATCCTCTACTTTGGGTTGTGGCATGGAAAGAAAGTATTTGAGAAAGAGAGAACGTGGATTACGGGGGGCGGGGGGCGGGGTGGTGGTGGTAATGAAAATTACCCTTCAGCGTTAGCAAAGGGAAATATCATTTTAGTAATAATAAATAAATAAATAAAGTGATATGATAAATGCATACTGTTAAAAATTGAGTCATTCTATTGATTCCTGAAATTTTTTCTTCCTCAGTATAGAAACGTGCAAGGAATAGGTTTTAGGAGATTTTTTTTTTCCCAGTGTAGATACTTTCAACCAGGAAGGAATCTTAAAAAGAAAGAGTAGAAGAAAAGGATAGGGAAGGGATGGAAAAGGAAGGAAGGAAGGAAGGAAAGGAAGGAAGGAAGGAAGGAAGGAAGGAAGGAAGGAAGGAAGGAGCAAAGAAAGAGAAAGAAAGGAAAAAAGGAGAGCAAATAATCAAATTAGCATTACTCAGGTGCTTTTTTTTTTGCTTGAATGAACAAATGGCCCTGAAGAAAAAACAACATAATTAGTTTTGAAGACTTTTTAAAAAGGGAAATGGAAATTTGGAAATAATACACACACACACACACACACACACAGGTGTTATCTCTGGTGGTTTAAACTTTATTTTTCCTTTTTTTACTTAGTCAAGTTTTAAATTCTCTACAATACATAAATACCATTTTTGCAATAAATTTCTTTAAAAAAGAACTAATAAAAGCAGAGGATTCCAAAGCAGAGTCCTTTGGAGTAATGACAGCTGGTTCTGCCAGGAAGGAAGAGATCTGAGGGTGAGTCAGAAATGCTAAGGTAGAAGCTTACAGGAGGATAAAAGGGCTTGATGTAAATTTTAGTGATTATCCAGAACTCTCTTGGTGTTGTGTGTAATATTAAATTTTCCTTGTCATGTTTTGCCTGGGTTTCTTTTTCCAGTAGTTGCCAGTGGTCATCACACAAACAAAAGTACTGAGGATATTGCAAAACAAATAAGGAAACTAAATAGGCTTGGTCAAAGAAGCAAATGGGACTCTCTATGATTGAGACCATAAAGACCATGTTAGGGAAGGACTGAGGAGTAGAAGATACTGGGTTGTTGAAGTTAGAGGAGAGAGCAGGGGCCTGAAGTTTTCCTCCCTGGTAACACCTGGAAGCGAGGGATGGGGGTAATTTAAAGACAGAATAGGATTTTTCTACATGGAAAAATTAGACAGATATAAATATGATTGCCCACCCCCCTTCATGGTTCTCCAAGCATAAACTTTTCTTCCTTTTATAATTGGGGTCAGTATCTCATTCCACTATCAGTATCAAGTTGTCTTCTCCTTAGCATATATTCCCAGCTAGAAAGAAAAGCAAGTAAAGAAGAACCAAAACTTCTCGAGTGAACGAAGTACTGTTGGGTTTAAACCAGATGAATGCATATTTTTAACCACGTTAAAATACCAGCACCCAGAAAGGTCTTACCTTCTCCAGGAGTTGCTGGTCACCAGAAATAATGCTTTAGATTGTCAGTACACTCAAACACTATTAATCTCTAAAAAAACAAACAAACAAACAAAAAAAACCTCGAAAAACCACAAAAACGCAGTCCATCTTTCAAGGTTACCTAGAGAAATTCAGAGACTTTTGCACACAATCTGATTCTCTGAATGCCTTTCTTCCCAGAATAAACTGTTTTATAAAAATTACAAGGGGGGGGGGGAAAGAGAAGTATTTGTTTTCTTGGGAAGGTAAAGAAAATAATTCTATGTGGGAACCCCTTAGACTTCCAAGGAGTCTGTGGGAAGGCTAATGCTGTTAGGAAAGGGACAACTTTGTTTTATAGTCCCTGATGTCAGGTTTTTAGTGTGGAGGGAAATGTGCACTCTCTGAGCTGTGCTTGCAAGCAATGCAGTATCCCTGAAACGCTGCCCTCTGGGAAAACCCGCCAGTGGGGGAGTGGTTACAATGAAGCAGTACAGCTTGTAACTTGGAATCCCGTCGGAGAACTTTGTAGTTGCTTGTCAGTCAGTGGGAAGATAAAAGAGGCAGCTTCTTTTCAGGCAATTTGAATTCATTTCCCCGTAATGAGTTAGAGGGTCAGGCAGCAGGAGTGAGCTCGCCTGAGATCTTACAAAGTGTATTTTGTGGGAGGGAGAGAACAGTGGCAGAGCAAAGGGAACATAATGTCTGCCTGGTTGCTGAATAAGCAGACGAACATGGCCACTGGTTGGTCCACTTCTTTGCAGGACCACTTACCTGCTTCCCCATGTTTCCAGAAGGACTGGCCAGGGAAAGTACGGCTCTACCCCATTTTATTAAATAAATACCCAATACATGAAAATTGAAACTCAATGAAAGTCTAAAGTAGCACGTACTGGTATTTCCTACATAAATACTCATCCAGCACAGACCTGTAAAAGGCATTATACTATGGGTTTTTTCACATTAGATGATTATTGATCATACAATTTCTTTGAGAGACACGGAAGAAATTAAATGAGTGTCATGTTAGGGAGTTCTCTAGCTATTGATAATAACTCTGGACCTCTCTCCCTGACCATTTTTAACATTTTAAAATTAACACCAGGGACACCTGGGTGGCTCAGTCTTTAAGCGTCTGCCTTCGGCTCAGGTCATGATCCCAGGGTCATGGGATCGAGCCCTGC